AAAAAAAAAAAAAAAAAAAAAAAAAAAGTAAAGACTGTCTTTACTAGTATTTCAATGTTAGGATTTACCATTTGAACTTGCATAATATTTTTTTGGAAAGCAATTAAATGTGTTACTGGTTTTTCAGTAGTGCTACAGAATTCCTGTATCTTAAGCCATTAATAATTCTATAATTCTCATGAAGGTGGGTCTGGAGCATAAAGTAGGAGTTGAGAGCATGTGTTAAAAAGGTTAATAAAGGGCCGGTGCATTGGTTAGGAGTTGGCTTGGGAGCACGAGCTCTGAGCAGCAGGGTCCCGGTTCGGATCCCACATGAGGGCCAGTGATGCTGCGCCCTCTACAGCTAAGGTGGTGAACAACAGCTCGACCTGGAGCTGGGCTGCCATGAGTCTCTGGCAATGGCTTAGGCTGCAGTGGGGCAGGTGGGCAGCTGGCGTGAGCTTTCATGAGGTGCTGTGGCCGCAGTGAGCGGCTGTCCAATGACCAGCAAGCGACTGCCTCACCTGGGAAGAGCGCAGTGATCACAATACCAACATGGGCCAGTGAAGCGACGTACTCCACAACAAGACTGAAGAACAAAAGGACAGCAACTTATCTGTTCCCCTCCCCCAATTCCCCAATAAAATCTTTTAAAAAAAAGAAAAGGTTAATAAATACTGAAATAGGTGTTTAAATCAGTATCATTAACAGTGCAGTGTGGAAAATATTTCACATTGTAATTGAGAATTAAAAGAGTATTCAAATCCATGTTACTTTGCTATACTTGATATTAGAAAAAAGTACTATGACTTTGAATTTTTTGGATTATAGATTGTACCTTTACTGGAGAAAGCAGATAAAAATGGCACATGCGATCCTACCATTAGAAGTTGCTTGGAAATTTTAGCAGGCATTTATCTTTCTTTGAGTCTAAAGAATCCCTTGAAGAAAGTCTTGGCAAGGTAAGAAAAAAAGGGGAGGGAAGTTGGGCATTATAAATGTTCAGTTTGATCAGAAGTAACCAATATTTAAAATTCTTTTTCTGGTTTGGTTTTAGAGTTGGGAGTATTTGTTTATACACCAACACTACACTTTTATTCACTATAGTTTGATAATTTTGGGGTTTAATTATATGCTAGAGCAAGTCATCCCTGTAGTGACTCTTCTTTTTCAGAATATTTCTATTTTTTATTTTTTATTCTTCCAGAAAAATGTTAGAACTGTTTAGTTAAAAAAAAATGCCTACTGGTTTTGGTTTAGATTAATTGAAGTAAAAATTGAATTTAATTCATTCATTTAATAAATTTTTATATACCTCCTATTATGTGTCAAATATTCTTCTAGGCATTGGGGATACAGTGGATAAAAGTCTAGAGTGGAGGGGAAGATAGAAAATACACAAAATAAATAAGCAAAATACATGGGATTAGATGGTATGAGTGCTAACGGAGAAAAGTAAAGCAGAGACGGGGGCAAGGGAGACCCAAGGATGGGGTAAGGGTTACAGTTTAAAATATAGGGGTCACTTCAGATGAAGTGTCAAATGTCATTGATAGGATGATATTTGAGATTGACCCAAAAAAGGTGAGGGGATGATTATTGGGTATATTTGAGGGGAAGGTAATCCAGGTGGAGCAAATAGAGACAGCAGAGGCTTTGGTATGTTGTTAGAACAGAGTAAGGCCGGGTAGCTAGAGCTGAGTGAACGAAGCTGAGGTCAGAGAGCCAAATGGTGGGGCCAGATTGCGCAGGATCTTGTAAGTCATTGTAAGCACTTTGACTGAGAGGGACGTTGTTGGTTAGTTTTAAGCAGAGGAATAGCACGGTGTTTTGGTACTGTCACCCTGACTACTCTGTTGAGATACTCTGAAGTTATTTTCTGTCTGTATTGTGAAGGTCTAGTTCAGTATGTCTTCATTTGTGATGATTCCCCTCTCCCCACATATAGTGTATTACAAGGTTGTCAGACTTGTAATATTTGGTTCTTTTTCTAGCTCACTAAATTGCCTACCCGATTTTTTTCTGACTGAGGCCATACAAAGTTTTACTTCTCGTCTTCAGGAAGAATTAAACACCACTGATCTATACTCTTATAGGAAAGTGATTGACAATATATCTTCCTGTCTAGAGAACTTTAACTTGGGTAAGCCAGCTCTTTTCTTTTTTTTTTTTTTTTTTTAGCTGAGCCATCCCGCCACCTGTTGGCAGCTCACGGCTGCTCAGCTCGGGCTGACTCGAACCG